ATTTCACTTTATTTCTGTTGCTGCAATGATGTTCTTTTATTTTCTTTTTTCTGAGCATTCTGTAGAAATCTTTTGAATGATTTTTATTTTAAAACTAAGTTGTGAATATTTTTGTTGAATTTCCGTGTTGGTAACTGTAAATCAGTTGTGTTTGTCGTTGGTTCTGTTTTGCATGTTATTTATCATTCATTTCATTCTGTTCTCAGTTGATATCTGGTCAGTGGGGTGTATCATGGGAGAAATGATCAGAGGTGCTGTGTTGTTCCCTGGCACTGATCGTATCCTTCCTAACAACCTTTTGACCACTCATAAATTCTGGGCAGTGGTGCCAAGTAACCTCCCCCCATTTAAAAAGGCAGTATGAATTGAATTCGGTGAATTCTAGTGGCATTATGTTTATCTATAAATAATTTATAAATTGGTCATTTTCAATCTACAATTGTGGGACATTGCTGTGCGCAATTGGCTGCCGCGTTCGCCCACAAATATACAGTCAATTCACTTTACAGTGTGTTCTGTGAAGCGCTTTGGGACGTCCTCCCGACGTGAAAAGCGCTATATCAAATGCAAGGATTATTATTATTATCTTTTTATTTGGAACCTTTACAGCCTGACTCCTTTTATAACATGACGTGCAGCATCCATAAAGTCACAACCCACAATATAACAGAGCACAGTACACTCCGGCCTCTCGCCAGCACCCTTGGGGTTGTCGGAGTTTCTGTTTAGGTGAGCCGTGCATGGAGAGCATGCCACTCAGCAGTGACAGCTCTCTTGAACATTTTCAATAGTTTCTGGAATCACTGTGGGATCTCTATACCTGGGCACAGTGCACAGGAAGCTGGTCAATCAGCAGTGAAAGCAAAAAGTGCATTGCACCTCAGGTCCACCTTGTTCCTACGTTATATCCAAACACACATATACCTGTCTCAGACTGTAATGGATATGATAGACCTCGGTATTTGAATTTTGTCACATTCAACCAAAAATAATTTAATTTTCTGAATCATCGATGACTTGGGATGTAGGCATCATAGCACAGGCTGAGTTATTCCTGTCGCCTTCAGTAACAACCACAAAATTACAAATTAAAGCATCTTTCACGTTGGGAGGACATCCCAAGGCACGTTCAGTCAAATGTTTACCTCATCACTCTCAGTGGAAAGCAGGGAGCATCTGTGCAAAGCACAATTTGTTGGGGGCAGCATTAACCTTTCTGGACCAAAGCAGCGAGCAAGGCTCCAATACATTGATTTGATCAAAGAATGATGTGATTCAAAGGGGCTATATCATCCCAAAGAGGTGGAGGTATCAAAGTATAGAATGTTGGCATGGTAACATCAATCGAATTGAACATGTCAACTCAATGAAATCCTTTACAAATCCGTACTGATTTCTTCAAAGACATTTTTTTAAATTCAAAAGTATGCTCTCCACATCAAACATTTCATCTGAAGATCAAATTGTCAAAGGTGGCAAAAAGCTTTGTTATTACAAATAAGCTGTAGAAATATAAAGAACATTAACTTTTGACTTTCGTGGTATAAGGATTTCTTTAGTTTTAAACAATGGCGCAAATTCCAGCTCAGGTGCAGCTCAGAGAAAACATGTGTAAGCTTTCTTTCCTTGATACACAATAAGGGTCCCAAGTGTGTGTGTCAATATTTTGCAACTGAGAAGTTTGTTGAATTCTTTATTGAAAATAGACAAGGAAATTCTTAGCCAATTTACTCCTTGATCCAGTTACTGATTCTCACTGTGTCAGCTACTATGCTCACATCCTTCAAAATGCTGATGATAATGTGTATCAAAATATTATAATGCTGCTGTTCAACAGTTATCAAACTCTCTCTAGCATTCACTGTACTATATTCTGTCAAACTGTTTCCTTGCTCTGCTGGTGTAAGTGACATTTTTGCTGCCTCCTCATCTAATCTATTTTGTTGATCCAGTATATATGGCATGCACTAATAAATGCATAGTGCCTCAAACTAGTAGATAGCAAGCAAGGCTTTTATGCTCATGAGGCTACAGACAATTCCACCAGGAAACATTAACTGAATTCAACTAAGTGAGCTGCAGATAAATCAAGTTGTTGGATGTCAGTTGGCTCAAAAGTTTGGCTTGCAATAATGCTAGGGTGAAAAATGAATAATTTGAAGTTTTCAATGGAAAGTTGAATGGAATAAGATAGCGGCAGATATGTCCAGATTGTGGACACAAAAACAATGTGGGTGGGTTATTGATTAATGTTAGAAAACAATCCTCTTTGCCGACAATGCACCGTTATGTCCAGAGGCACTTTTGGGGGGGGGGGGAACAAGACACCATTTACATTTGCATTTTCCCATGCAGCCTATTTGCTAAAGGGGCACCATCCTTACTGAAGCATATTTGCAATCCTTTTTCTTCTCTTGAAGAGGGAGAAGGTCCAAGCTTCAGTGTTCTCAATTAAGATCATGTATGTCAATATATTTTGGCATGAATGTGGCATGAATGAAAGTGGAAATAATGCTCCACAAGAGCAAGCTCGTAGAGACCTCGAGTGAACCAGTGATTAGCAACCGGCGCTGTTGTTGTTATCATTTCTTATATTTGAAATTTTGCCAAAAACTTTTTAGTGAAACCTAATAAGGGTGGAAGTGTCCTCAGTTATCAAAAATGTATCTTGTAAGCTAGGATGACTTTTTCCTCACCAAAGGTTTGAATTATGTATTTCTTTGTATCATAAAGTATTATTATTGAATTTAAAACCCATCTCAGGGTTTGTGCATTGAACACATCCAATGTGTCTTGTAGAATGATAAAGCAACAAAACTTGCATTTATATAGCGCCCCTCACGGAGGGTAGCTTCCCAGAGAGTCAGAGCATGATCCGAGCCAAGGGGAATGGGGAGATGACAATAGGCACGATCGAAGGGGAAGGTCTTCAGGTGCGATCTGAAGATGGGGAGGGAAGAGGCAAGGCAGAGGGTTAGACGAAGAGCGTTCCAGAGTTTCAGGGCATAGTGGCTCAATGAAGGGTACAAAGAACGCTGGACACAGTCAAGTGGAGGCAGTAGGTAGTGGGTTGGGGAGTAAGCAGGTCTGAGAGATAGGGAAATGCCAGCCCATGAAGGGATTTCAAAATAAGTGTGAGGATCTTGAAATCAATCCCTTCGGCGATAGGGAGCCAGTGTAGCTTGGCAAGAACTGGTAGAGTGGCACTGGAACAAGTCATTAGGCCCAACTAGTCCATGCCAGAACAAACAAGTTACTGGTTTACCACTGTAATGTTAGACAAGTCCCAATTGTCAGAACACCATTCAATGGAGGTTTCCTTTCTGGACTATTCTTATATAGTTAGGTCCATGTTTTATGCACAATTGCATTTCTGTAGCCTATATCCCTGGAGAGACTCAAGACAGCATCTGTTGTGTATTCCATTCACATTCTCCCCAAATGTCACTCGGGGTCTAGAAAACAAGATACCTGCTGCCAATGCTTGCTTTCCAACAATATAATTTCCTTCACTTTATTTATCATTCTCTGGCCATTGAAACATGGAATCATTGAGCGTTCTTATTACAGAAGGAGCCCATTGGTCCCACTGTGTCTGTACTGACGCTCGCTCCCTCACTGGAGTTAACCCCTCTATCCCTTTTCTTTATAATATTATTTTCCTTCACGTATTGCCAATCAGTGGAATAGTCATTCTCTTTTGATTCTGTCAGAACCATTCATCATTTTGAAAACTTTTATTCTAATGTTCTTCAATGTTTTAGCCCTATATCTGTATTTAATTTTAGGTTGCCACAAATGACACCACACGTATGCAGGCAATCTTTGATAAAATAGATATAAGATTTGCTCCTATAATATATGCACCACATGAACTGACAAATCCACAGCAAAGTTACCTTTTAGTAATTTGAAGAGACAAAGCATCTTTTACAGGAACGTCACCTAAGCATAACAAAATGTTAACAGTAATCCCTTGACAGCTTTTCAGAGCCGTCACCAAGTTTTTGTTCACACTGACTTCTCCTCAGCACATTGACAGACTGTCCGTCACATGGGAGACTCTTCATGGCTTGTCTACACTGCTGAATGTAGTTTCAAATGCAGCTTGTAGTTCTGAATCGTGAGATGCATAATTCATCAGGAACTAACTGAAAAAGATCCAAACCACAAATGCAAAATAACATTTGTATAGAGGCGGGAGGACGTCCCAAGACACTGGACAGTCAGGGATTTGGACCTAGGGTGGGTTGGGATCAGGGAGGAGGGAGGGTAGGAGGGTGGACAAAGGCCTAGTCGAAGAGATGTGCCTTGAAGGAGGCAAGATATATCATCTTTGAGTTGAAAAAGCCCTTTACAAGAAACCAGGAGGTTTACTCATGCTACCTGGAAAGGTGTCTCATGATGTACACTGCATCCCCAGCATGTAGACTATACTGACTCACGCACACATCCTCAGCTCTGAAGTGATGGCATGATGTATATAGAAATCTTGCTGAAAGTGCAGCTTACTGTACCATGAGGCACTTTTTCCCGGCAATGAGACAGCAACAACAGCAATTTGTACGTTGTCCCAGTGTCTCAAAGCACCAGCAATGCTAAAGTTCTTTCCTGCAGAGGACTGTTTTAACCTCAGTGAAAAATGTTACAAAACATTATCATCTATAATGAAATGCTTGTGGACATTTTGTCACAGTAAATGGTAATTTCTCACTGAACATTCAAAATGGAAAGTCGACTGACCTGCAAGTTATCTAAATTAGGGGAGCCAAGTGTTTATCTAAAAAAGGAAAGGGCTGTACAGTATAACAATCTTGATAAGTGTCAATAAGAAGAGAAATATAAGAAATTAGTACTGTATTGGTACTGTTTTACTGAACTGCAGTGAATACATTTAAAGATACCCTCTCTGAGCTTTTCCTTATTTCTGCTTAGCCACATCCGTCAGCATTAAACGTAGATTATTTTGCGGCATATTTTCCTGAACCTCTTGTATTCAGATATTGATCAATGGAATAAGGTCATTGAACAGCTAGGGACTCCATTGCCAGAGTTCATGAAGAAGCTGCAGCCCACTGTCCGCAACTATGTGGAGAATAGACCCAAGTACACAGGACACACTTTCCCCAAACTCTTCCCCGACTGCCTCTTCCCAGCAGACTCAGAACACAACAAACTAAAAGGTAAGACACAGCAGTAAGTACTGGCTTTAATTATTTGGGCAAGTCATTTCACTGATATCACTAATAGAAACTGAAAACCAAAGGTCTGATTTGAAGCTAGAATATATCACATACAGGAGCAATGTGAGTGAGGGAATCGCGCCTTGCTGCTGACAGGACAAGCAGAGTTTGAGCACGAGCCTCACTCCAAGCAATTAGAGGCATTGTAGAGTAATGGAGAGCATTCGAGGGTGATGGGTAAGTTTGAGAAAGTTGCAGCATAAGGCTATCTCCGCTGCTGGTGGTGATCTTATTTGGTATAAATATAAATCTGAGCTGGAATAACAAGATGGGCTGGAGTAACAGTCACCAGAAACTCAACACCCAACCGTGAGAGGTGATCTTAACAAAACCAACAAGGACACATGAAATTGAGTGACAGACAATTGTGGAATTGCAGCTTGTAGCTCTGGGAAGCAGGTTGGCTTCTGAATGCTGTAGAAGTTAAACCAATGCTAGTAATACTGATAATGTTTATAGCAATGTTATTTCTCAAATGTACATTCTTGCTAAATATTAGAATTGGTAAATGGTGCAAATTATTTTTCTTAAAAATATTACTCCCATCTACCAAAATGGACAGTGAAAACTGGAAGCAAGAAGCATAAAGGTAAGGAATATGTTTCAATTTAAAATTAGGTAGTAATAAAAGATTAGATAGATAGAAAATAAATAGGACAGGGGAAAAAATAAAGAATGACACGAAAAAGAGAGAATGGAAGGAAAAGAGTGGTGACCGGATAAGAACAAACAACCATTTCATATTAATATTTATTTAAATTGTGATTTTGCATTTATTTTAATGAATTAGAGGTACAATTACAGGACACCTTGCCCCCAGTAATTGAAGAGCTGCATTAGTGTAATATTAGTACTGTATTTGTCCGTGACGGTCTGTGAGCTGAAAATGTACAGAACCATTCAGGCCCATAGAGGCAGCAGTGCAGGGGTTAATGATAGATCAACAGGATGGATTGAGAATTGGTTGGCAACATAAAGCAGGAGATCCATGATACAAGATAAAAGCTCTGACTGGAAACAGGGACTAATAGAGTTTCACAAGGACCTAATCTGTGTCCTTTGGTGATCACAATATCCATAAAACAATATGGAAATGGAAGCTATCAGCAGTAGTTTTGCACTAGTGTTATTTGCAGCTAGAACATTGGTCCATCTTTAAGAGGATAGTTTGGAGATATTCTCCTGGACAGTATGATTGATGTCTCAAACATATGCTGCTCCTCTCTCCCCATCTCTTCATGCATATATCTAACTATTTTGATTTACTGCAGACAGCTAGGAGATGATTGCTACACTATTATGGAGAGAAATTATATCTGGTCTGGATTTAGACTTTCTTAGCATTTCAGACTGTCCAAATTTTGGAGAATTCTTAAATTCAATTTTAATTTGGAGCCTGTTTTTCTATAGTTATTAATCTTATCTACAATTGATTAAGGTTGGGTTTAAGAATTGTTCAAAATTTGACAGCTCTGAAATGGTAAGAATGTGTTTGAATGTGACAAAATATAGATGTAATGTAATCTCTCCAACTCTATTTTCTAGAGTTTTGCTCATTGCCAAACAAAAGAGAGAGCTTGTTTTTTTTATAATATCTTATTGTATCAAATCATCTCAAAGTGCTTCACAGCCAATTATTGTCTAGTGTTGTGACAGTTATTATGGGCCACCGTGGAAGCCATATTGCAGGATGGTCCCAGAGACCACAATGCGGTGAATGACCAATTGATTTGGAGGACAATACTATAAAGTCAATGTAAATGATACATTACATATAGCATTACCAGTTATTTGTATTTTGCAGCCAGCCAAGCCAGAGATCTCCTGTCTAAGATGTTGGTAATTGACCCAACCAAGCGGATATCTGTGGATGAAGCCTTACAGCACCCATACATTAACGTCTGGTATGACCCTGCTGAGGTTGAGGCGGTGAGTCTCAGTGTGTTTGTTACATTCTGATCATAGTACCTGAGTTCCGAGTAATCATTCTCAATGTTGAAATTAGCAAAAATCTTACAACTTGACATTACTGAATGAGAACAACAAAAATCTACCAATCTACCTGCAAATCACCTGGGATTATTTTTTTTGTTATTGTTGTTGTTACATTGCTATTTTAGCTGATAAAGGCATGAGACAACAACAAGGTCTTGATGGAGTACGTCAGCACTAAACCATGAAAGACAGGTTATGAATGCTTTTAACATTCATGCTTAAACAACCAATTTTATTCATTATCCCCTTAACCTTCCTGGCTTGTTGCCTGATCTGTTACGTGATCCATGACTTTCTGAGATCTTACTGCTCTTAATTTTGAACCCCTTCAGTCAGGTTTCCGTGCTGCTCATAGCACAGAAACTGCCCTGGTCAAGGTCACCAATGATATCCTGACTATCTGTGACCAGGGCTCCCTCTGTCTCCTCGTCCTCCTCGACCTATCGGCAGCATTCGATACGGTCGACCACGCTATCCTACTCCACCGCTTGTCCTCCCACCTCAACCTTCAAGGCACTGTCCTTGAATGGTTTAGCTCTTACCTTTCCCACCGTCTTCACTTCGTCTCAACGAATGGCTTCTCCTCCACCCCCCGTACTGTCTCATGTGGTGTCCCTCAGGGCTCTGTCCTCGGTCCCCTCCTCTTCACCCTCTATATGCTCCCCCTCGGTGACATCATCCGCAAACATGGGGTTAACTTCCACATGTATGCGGATGACACCCAACTCTACCTTTCCTCCTCTACTCTCAACTCCACGACCACCGATGTCCTGACAGCCTGCCTGTCCGACATCGAGTCCTGGACGAGAGACAACTTTCTTCAGCTCAACGTGCGAAAAACCGAGGCCCTCCTGATTGGCTCACGTCAGCGCCTCCGCACCTCAGGCGCTGACACCATCAGCATCCAAGGCTGCACTCTCCACCTCTCAAAGCCAGTCAGGAACCTCGGCGTTTTGTTCGACCCTGAGCTGTCCTTTCTCCCTCACATCCGCACCACAACTGGCACCGCCTTCCATCACCTCCGGAATATCGCCAGACTACGGCATTACCTCACCCCTCACGCTGCTGAAACCCTGGTTCACGCCTTTGTCACCTCAAGGCTGGACTATGGGAACTCTCTCCTCGCCGGCCTTCCCGCACCTCCCTCCACAAGCTGCAGGTCATTCAGAACTCTGCAGCTCGTGTACTGTCCCGCACCAGGCTTCGGGACCACATCACTCCCACCCTCGCTCGCCTCCACTGGCTCCCCATCCCCCAGAGGATTGATTTCAAGATCCTCATCCTCACCTACAAGGCCATTCACGGCCGCGCTCCCTCCTACCTCTCCAACCTACTATCCCCCTACCTACCTGCCCGTACCCTCCGTTCCTCTGGCTCCGGTCTGCTCCACGTCCCCCGCCCCAACCGCCCTACTATCGGTGGTCGGGCCTTCAGCCTCTCAGCCCCGAGGCTCTGGAACTCCATCCCCCAGTGCCTTCGCCTTGCTTCCTCCCTTTCCTCCTTCAAGGCCGGTCTCAAAACCTTTCTCTTTGACCGTGCCTTCAGCTCCCCTCTCGACTCTCTTCCTCCTCCTCGCTCCCTCCCTTCCCTCCCCTCACCCTGACCATTTCCCCCCTCCTCTCTCCCTCCCTTCCCTCCCCTCACCCTGACCATTTCCCCCCTGCTCGGGTCATGACCCAACTGTGCAGCGCCTTGGGACGTCCTCCTGACGTGAAAGGCGCTCTATAAATGGAATCTTGTTGTTGTTGTTGTTGTTGTTGTTGTTAATTTAGATATTTCTTGTACATGATTTCTGACTCAGTGTATTCCTGATCTAAACTGCGTGGTCAATTGAGATAGTTAAAATTTGCGGTATTCTATAAAGCATTCCTAAACTTATTTAGCAATGTGTTAAGGAAATCAGCAGGTGGCGCTCTTCTACAGGTTGTTTATTTCTCTCAGGGTTCTAGTACTGGGATTTTGTGTGACCTGCATTGAGCTGTTGTTTATATTTTATGTTTAATTTTGCTTTCCCAGAATTGATCTGCATAAGAAGGGGTTAAATGTCATACTCTTATTATTTTCATATCAGTGTTGACTTTTTAGTGATCAGATCAATGGCTTCCAAATTAAGAGTGACTTTAGAAATTCTCCAAAATTTGACAGAATCTTAAATTTCAAAACAGTGGCCTTAAGGCTAAAACTATGAGAAATTTAAATCCCCTGAATCACAAAAGGGAAGGTTGCAAATATAGCAGCTACTTGGATAATGAGCTCTCACAACTGAGATGCAATACACAAATTTCAAATACAATACAAATTTACATTTACGTAGTGCCTTTCATGTCAGGGGAATGTCCCAAAGCGCTTAGCTTTGTAAACCAATCAAGCTTCACTCTCTGGGCTTATAACATCTGGTGATTCTTCTGACTGTATTAACATTTTATTACACATTGCAAGCCAATTGGTTTCCTATCAAGGTATTGATTACCTCTTCCTCTGATTGGCACTAAAATTGTCTGAGCTGCAAAATCTCTGCTGGTATAAATCAAAGAATTATCACATGAAAGAGTATCTCCACTCACCGTCCATCACTACTCAGCATTGCTTGTCTAGCAATATCTGTCTCCTTGCTTTCATTTTTGTGCTGATCCGCAAGCAGTTACTGTGTAAAAATAATCAAAAGTAATTGACTTCAACTTAATTTCAAAATAAAGTTTCTGTTTTAATTGGTCCTTAAGGAGCAAAATAAGCTTAACATTTAGCTTAATTTTGTTTTACTTCTGTGTTTTTTAACGATCATTATTCTGGGGCTTTTTTTTTGGTATTTCCTCACAAATTTGCTTCAGTGTCTTGGGATGTCCTCTCCACATCAACAACAGCAGCAAGATTACATTTGTATAGCGCCTTTCAGATCGGGAGGACGTCCCAAGGCGCTGGACAGAGTACAGCATTTCAGACCCGAGCTGGGGTCGGGGGGGTAGGGAGAAGGGAGGGCAGGGGAAGGGGGGTGGCCGATTGCATGGTCAACAAGGAGGGTCTTGAGGCGGGACTTGAAGGAAGCTAAGGAGGGGATGAGGCGGAGTGACTGGGGGATGGAATTCCAGCGGTTGGGGGCAGAGTGGCTGAAGGCTCTCCCGCCAATGGTGGGGCAGGTGGGTCGGGGGACGTGGATCAGGCCAGAGCCGGCTGAGCGGAGGGAGCGGGCGGGTTGGTAGGGGGTTAGGAGGTCACAGAGGTAGGGTGGGGCGAGGCCCTGGAAGGCTTTGTATGTGAGGACCAGGATCTTGAACAGGATCCACTGAAGGATAAGGAGCCAGTGGAGTCGGGCGAGAATGGGGGAGATGCGGTCACGGAGTTTGGTGCGGGAGAGGACACGGGCTGCAGAGTTCTGGATTATCTGCAGCCTGTGGAGGGAGGAGTTGGGAAGGCTGACAAGCAGGGCGTTTGCATAGTCGAGCCTGGAGGTGATGAAGGCATGAACAAGAGTTTCAGTGGCCTGAGGGGTGAGGTAGTGGCAGAGTTCGGCGATGTTACGGAGGTGAGGGAAGGCAGAGCGAGTCATGGCTTGAATGTGGGGAAGAAAAGACAGTTGAGGGTCGAACAAGACACCCAGGTTCCTGACTGGCTGGTGAGTTGTAATGTGCAACCATGGAGGTTGATGCTGCCAGAGCCTGAGGTGCTGAGGCGCTGGCGTGAGCCAATCAGGAGGGCGTCAATCTTGTTCGCATTCAACTGTAGGAAATTGTATTGAACAATTGTATTGTATTGAACAGCGCAATACAAATGTAATTTGTTGTTGACTAACAGTGGGATATTATAGTTTTATTCCATTATCCCAAATGAGCCTAAACAGTCGGTTTTTTCTTACAAAAATGGTTAAAACAGTGATCTCTGCATGCAGGATGATCTTTACAATGGGATTACAAAGTTATATTGAAAAGACTTATTTTTAACAAGTAGCATAAAATAGACTCAAATGAGTGTCAGTGAGATATTCAACCAAGGTGGGCATCAGCTAATTCAAACAATCAAATTCAGGAACTTGTATAATAATAATAATAATAATACTTGCATTTGATAAAGCACCTTATCACGTCTTTGTGACATCTCAAAGCGCTTCACAGAATATATTGTAAAGTGAATTGACTGTGTATTTTGTGGGCGAAACGCAAGAAATAAAAACAATTCTGATTGCTGAACAATTGAATGGAGGAATTAATGGAACCGTGAAGAGACATACTAGAAAGGAGATTTCTGTGATCTGCCGTATGTTATTATATACAGTATTTTTTTTACAGCCTCCTCCTCAGATCTACGATAAACAGCTTGATGAGAGAGAGCACAGCATAGATGAATGGAAAGGTAAGATGATGAGACAAAGACTTCAGCTAATGAACATTCATTCTCACAACGTATTTCTTTCAACACAAGTTGCATTTACATCACAGTTTTCACATGGGAAAACCTCCAGACCACTTCACAGTGATAGACATAGGCAATGGGTGAAAATATTCGGGGGAGGAGGATGAGTAAAACTCGGGTATTTACTACATTATTATATAAATATGTCATGTTATATTTCCTTTGCAAATTTGATAGTGGGGAAATGTTAGGGTACATTTCATCATTGAGTAAGAAATGACATGTTTGAAACTGAAAAAAAAACACAAAAAATCATTGACTATTCCTCTGGACAGATTAATGTATTATCAGTTACTAAGTGATTTTGTCTGGTGGTAATATCCATTGCAAAGTGAAACTGTCAGTACGTAATTGCAGCCAAAGGAAGGGAATAGAATAAACAAGGGCAGACTGATAGCAGTACCAAACTGTTTATGTATTTACCAGTCTTTGTTGTTAAGATTCATTTATAGTTATTACACTACCAATTTGTAAAAAAAATACATGTTCTTGGAAATGACCAAATTCCTGTCCGTAGTGCCTTCCAAAAACTGTGGAAGGAGAGAGAAGAAAATCTATAACAATTTAATTTGTTTCAATAATCCAGGATGCATTTACTGATCAGACAGACCTCAAATCCCACCTGGCCTCAGCCTGCAGTTTGGAAATTGTTTTATTTTGCAATTCTTAAACCCAAACCAGCTTCTAAATTAAGACTGAGTATAAGAATGTTCTGCAATTCGGTACTATCTTATATTTTAAGACAAAAATGATCTTATTGGTTCAGACTAGATGAAGTTCCTATTTCCCAGGACAGAATGCTGTTCGATACTGTAAGAGGTTGGTTGCCGTTATGATCTCAACATCAGAAGACAAATGGAAGATCATTGAAATATTTCATACTATTGTGAAAAGTATAAGTGCGCAGGTTTACTGCCAGTGGAAATTTGTTACTGGCTATTGAGAGGAGGGTTCAGAGGTCAGCGTGACTGTTGGGCTGGTACACTGACTGGCAAGCCTGGCTTCTGGAGCTGAATAGTGCTTTGTCTTTTTATAAACAGAATTGATCTACAAGGAGGTGATGGATTTCGAGGAGAAAACTAAAAATGGTGTTGTGAAGGGACAGCCGTCCCCCTCAGGTAAATCCAGTGACCCTGTACATAGATAATAAACCAAAATTGCACAGGATATTACTTCTGGACATACAAATGAATTCTCCTTGCTTTGTTTTGTTGGTTAATCTTAAGTACGTTGCAAAAACAGATATCTCTTAATATGTTTTCCACAGAAATGTTAGTTTCACCAAAGATTTCCGCCTTTTCTGTTATTATTGCAGTATATAAAAAAAATATTTTCAGATTATCAGTGGAAAAATGATAACGCTTTGTTCATTTGCTCTGAATCTGACCAGCAGTGAGGGCTATTCTTGCAGAAAATGTTCTGCTTGTCCAATGCAATACTATTTCACAAACGTACCTCTACATTTGGTTTAGAGTGTGCTCTAAACTGAGGTACTTGTTATAGGACATAAAATGCATAATCACTACACTTTACAGTAAAATCTGAGCTACTTTGAGGCATGCTGTGAATTGAAAGTCTGTACAATACATGAAAAAAACAAATGCAAAAACACTTCTGTACATCAAATGCAAGGGCTATTATTATTAATGTGTTGATTTTGTTACATTCTGTTTACTGAAGAGAAAATAATTCAATGAGGGATATTCAGGCTTGTCGTCATATATGCATATGTATTTAATGTTAATCATAAAAATTTCAATCTGGTAATGGTAAAATCCTTATTATATATTTTGCGATTTTGATCAACATTTTATTTGTGGTTTAAAATAAGAAAACAGCTAACTGGTCCCAAGCAACTAACTGGTCAAAAAAGGTTGGTTAAAAAAACACTCTGTGGAAAAATGGCAGGGCAGAATGTCTTAAATTAAAAGGTAAAACACAAATACGCATCGGGACATAAAATGCATCTCATGCACAGTACCTTCTGTACATCATGCCAACCTGTGGAAGCTCAGTTTCTACCTTGAAGTAGACTTGGAGCCGAGGTGCACAGATTGGTGAGGTGTATGTGGAGTTCCCTACAGTAGCAGCATTTTATGTCCCAAGGTCCATTTTTCAGGTGTGAGATTTCATTCACTCTGTAGTTTTCCTGCTGAGCGCTTATCAACCCCTATGTTGCAAAACCAACCTCAGGATTTGGACCTTGTTGGGGATGGGGAGTGTGTGGTGAATTTAAAGCAGTGTATGGTTTTAGAATAGCAGTGTTCTTTAAATAGTTAGCATGATAAATTACAACAGAGCAGGAGTAAAATGCAAGCCACGCAGAAATGAAGAATTTTCACAACTGAAGCAAATTAATGCACTTATTTTTGCTCTTTAGAATTTTTGGGGGACTTTTAACATTTACCCATTCTTTTCCCTGGTGCAGAACTTACTTTGTTCCCAATTAAATGAGCTCTGAGTCAGCAATGCATGGAAGAAATGATCGGTAACCTAACTATCTTGTTAAAGCAGGACATGAGGCAAGTTTGCAGACTTCAGGGCGCATAGGTTTATTAAAATTGTTGCAACAAAAAGGATTCCTGGAAAATGTGCTTTACTTTTTACGACTATTACGACTATTTATGATGTTTTTTAAAAGATGTTTAATGTTTGAACCATTTTCCGGAACATTTCTATTAAAACCAAGATTTGTGATAGTGTCAAACCCTTATTTTCGCCAAAGTAACCCCTGAAGATGAAGATGTAAGAGGGTTAGATTGATCCCCAGAACCCCCCCCCCCCCACCCCACCTTTAAGTCTCGACAAAATGTTTAAACACGTGGAGGTTTCAAGCCAAATTGGCACTCCTGCAAATCAGTGCCTCCTATGAATTGGTACCCCATTTTATCTGAAAATCCCAAGCCTTTTTGGGGTGCCAGCCTACCACTGGTGTGAAGTAGTTTCTCTTTATCATGGCTGGATAATGTTTTAGGCAATTAAACAATCAAATACGTTCCTTTCCATTGCTTCGCTGCTCTTTACAGTCGACTGAAGGTAAGATTGAAGGTTTTCTCCTGGTTCAGCTGTGTTCTCAGATTTTATGGCTTTACCGTTCATTTTCTCAGCGCAGGTGCAGCAGTGAATAGCAGTGAAAGCCTTCCTCCGTCTTCATCAGTAAATGACATTTCATCTATGTCAACCGATCAGACCCTGGCCTCGGACACTGACAGCAGCCTGGAAACTTCAGCGGGACCCCTCGGTTGTTGCAGGTGACTAGCCGCCTGCCTGCGAAACCCCCTCTTCTTTAGAACGTGATGCACATACTAATTACTCAGCTCGCCTGTTTGGAAAATGAACTTCTCTTTAAAAAAGGAACATGGATATACTTGATGCTTAAATATTATGTCAAAATGCTTTGCTTACGTCTCATTCCAGATGAGGCTGAAGTTCATTAAGAGTACTAGGCAGCACCATTTCACAGTATGTAAATATGTGGTTATAAATTTGCGCCCTGCTCCCTTGCTTTGATAAGGCAAGATGAGCAGAAAAGATACAGCATTATAGTTAAAACTAAATGCACTTTTGTCTCTTTAAAGATGCAATATGTGTACATTCTTTTGCCCTTCATGTACTTGCTGAGTATAAACACAATGTATAAATATATTCCTATGAATGGCCATTTGTACATTACTCCAAAAAGATCTTCAATCCCGGGATCTCAAAACGCATGCATTCTTGATAGAAACTAAGGGAATAATCAAAAACAAATTATTAATCCTTTTAGTACTGAATGCAACTCTTCTATCTGCAATTATCTCCTATGAATAGAATTAATGGGATACGCAGAGTCACAAACCATTCCCTTATAAGCTATGAAGTAGACTAAAGAAAGGGTAATGTTTAAAGGGACGGTATACTTTCTACCTGTCCTGTTTAGTTTAGAGTCACAGTCTGCCAAACATCAAGAAAAAATTGTATTACAATCCCAGTCTTCATAAAAAAACTGCAATTTCTGTAAACTAATGTGACACTGAAAGGTGGCGTTTAAAATCTGGTTTGCTAATGCCATTTCTTGAACTAAATTTAAAGCAATCGAATAAATTATGACAAAGTATCCGTAAAGAGGATGATATGTTTTTTTCTCACTGAGAGGTTATAAATAAATGCTTCTGCAGATGATGGTGATAGCTCTTTAAAAATAAACTGGAGTGAGCATCATACATTCAGTTAGGATTTGTGATCTGAGTTGAGAGATCCTAGAATTACTGTTCATACCTGTATTTGTAGTCAAATAAAAAAGACATGCACATACAAATTAACTGCACACCTTACCATCGTCAGCTGAACAGATTCTTTAGTTGCACTTGCCTGTAGATGTGCATGACCAAACTTCCAAATATATAACTGTAAAGTGGAAGGGAACATATACCTAGATGTGTTGTAGGTTATTATGTGGTACATAATGTATGCAGCCAAGAACCTGCACAATTTTGCTGCAATTTTAAAACCCTTAAATGCTGAACCTGCATGGACCTGCGATACGACTTCTCTACTCACAAGTAAGCATTATTTTGAATTGCTGTGACATATGTTAATCAGAACCAATTTTATTAACGTTACGTGTGAAGTTAAAACACAAGCTTAACTGCTGGATGCAGAATATTAGAGACCAACCTTGAGGACATCAGTGATATGGACGGCACACAAAACACCCTCAGTCTATACAACCGTAGTTGGAAACTACTTTTACTGAGAGGAAAGATTGACGTTACTAATAAGGCCAAAAGGACAAAACTGTCAACATTGACAGTTTTGATCAGCTTTGGTCTGAACTAAATTAACTTTGCAGAAATCCTTTTTAGGCAAAATGACTATTTCTTCAGAGAAGATTGAAAATAACTGGATAACAGGGTATCTAAAGAACTTGGGACATCTTGATGAAATATTACAAAATCAAACTTAATTCAAATTAGCAGTTTGGGTTTGGGAACACTTCATTCACTAATGCTAAATGGTTCTAAATAGTCAAAGGTACAATACAAACACAGCACAGAAAGAATTGATGGTCATTCCTGCTGACTTGGAAAATTGACAAGTTACAAGATCACAAATAAAGAGGATTCTTTGCTCATCTCTCCAGAACACCCAATCCTCCATCTTCCCATTATAGACTCCAGCTGTTTCTTCAATGAGTCCAGTATCCTGACTTCAACCTTTCTAGTACCTCATTTCAGTCCTTTATTCCCTGTTGTTTAAAGAAATACTTAACCCAGTGTCTGTCTTAAAAAAAAGTTCACATGTAGGACCTCTGTCCTTTTGTTTTGCTACCTTGGAGTATATGGGAGTATTATTCTGAATTTACTTTTTCAATCCCATTAAGCATGGTATTTGCTTGTATAAGGCCTGGCCTGAGCTATTTCCTTTCAAGGCTGAAGAACTTTTTCAAGCCTGTTTAGTCATTTCTCCGAGTCCATCCCTCTAACTGCTGGGGACACAACATGACATTAAGGCAAATACCTATTCTGAAATGAAACAACATCCTTGTCTTGTCTTCTAATACACCAAGGACACACAAAATGGTTGAAGGAATGAGTTTAAAGAGTGAGCCCATCAGTCGTAGCATCTGTCTGGAGTTTGACATTGCCATTGACTATCATCTTTTGAACTGCAGTCCAGGATTTCTATAAACAAGTGATGATAAACAAGTGTGGAATCCTGTAACTCAGTGGTTAGAACATTCGCCTCACAAGCGAGAGACTTGAGTTTGATTCCTGGCAGGGCGAAACCTTGGCCAAGTTTCCTTACTCCACACGCATGGTAATAATCCCTCAAGAAAAGAAATAATAAATTGGTCACTTCAGTCCACCACTGTTTGTGGGATACTGTGTGTACAATTGGCTGCCACGTTTTACCACAAATATACAGTTAATTCATTTTACAGTATATTCTGTGAAGCGCTTTGAGACGTCTAGAAGATGTGAAAAGCGCTATATCAATTGCAAGGATTATTTATTTATGATAAATTTATAGAAAATATAATTTTAATTGTAATTATATAATTGGTGCAAAATACTACTTGCAAGATTCTTACACGGTTTCCAGGCTTGGTATTTTCTGTTAATTTATCATCTATAGCTTAATTTGAAGTGTTGGCATTTTTCAGATTTGCGATGGAGATGTTTGAAAATTGAGTGCTATTGCCCTCTGCTGATCAGATTGCAGAGGCACTAGCTAGGTTAGAAATGTTAACAGTCTGACCCAGTCAGAATGAACTGTTCTTTCTTCACTGCTATCCAGGCATCCTTACATTTTGTTTTAAGAACAGATTTCTAATTTCATGAGCAGGCAACATCTTGAGATTCATTGTGTTTGTTCTTGGTGAATAGTTTACATTGATCAGGTATGTAGGTTCTACCTTTCTCCAGACCATTCTACAAAATGATGTTAGTGTAATCTGGATTGCACACTCACTGACATGATGGTGTCATGCACTCTATCGATGAATATCAAGTAGAATCTCGGATTTTACATTGCCCATCTTTTTAATGATATTCAATTCCAAACAATTGTTTTAAGCTACAGTACATGTTATGATCTTCATTTCCTTGTGATGTTTGGATACAGCAAGACATCTTGGTCCTAAGTACTACTGGTACCTCATTGCGTGGCTCCCCGAAGGTTCAAAGTTTTGTCCAGGCTGAACCACTCCATCTTCTTTCCCACTCTTCACAGGATGTTGGCACAGCCTCTGCCCAGTGCATTCCCATTTAGTGTGGCTCCTATTGGAATCTGAATGGAATGAAGAAATTGAACCTGCGTACTCCCATTTCCTTACAGTCCTCCAACACTCAATGCCACTTGAAAAAGATTTCATTTAAATAATTATTGAGACTTCAACTCAACCCCAGTGATCGATCTAAGCAATGATGTCCATGAGTGATATATTTTGTCTATTAGCGACAGTTGATGCTACTATACTGGTCATTGGTTCACAATGACTGCTGGGCTGGAGGGTTATGTACTGCTGTTCCTCTTAACAACAATAACCACAACAACTTGCATTTATACAGTGCCCCTCACAGGGTAGCGTTCCAGAGCACTTGATTTACCATCTAAGGGGATACTCCATAAAATTACATCGCGTGATACCAGAAAGAGGCCACTTTACCCAACCAGGCTGTGCTAGTCTTTATTTTCCACATGAGGCCCCACTCCGCTTATTTCCTCTTCTATACCTCACCTCTCTATTCCCTTCCCCTTGCATGCAACACATTTTCTCTCAAGTATATTCATGTTATTTATTTCAAGCACAGCTTCCGGCAGTGAGTTCCACAAATACTGCACAGTAAATAAAACAGCAGTTTCAGAAGCCATAATAACTGAAAAAAGGAAAAAAATTGTGATAATTGATCACAGATTCAATGTGATATTTATCACATTGAATTGGTTATGAATGTTGCAATTCCTGCTCCTCCCCCAACCCCCCCCCCCCCCACCCGCCGATTTACCATATTAAGCAGAGATTCCATTTCAGCTTGGAACTTACTTTTTTCCCTCTCTAATATTTGGTGATTCTCTGCCAACAATAACTTGTGAGTTATGATATGATCCCGATCAGAAAAATTACATAGCTGTGTGAAAATCTTTGGTGTATTATGTTACAGCATCTTTGTAACACTATCAAAATATCCTTCTGTCCTATTGAACTTATCTGCCTCCATCTGCCAGTCCAATTGCAGCGTTCATTGGAATTGAGGAAACACTTACATTTTGCTGTAATTGTGCAACTATTATAGGATTTCTTTATTATTACTATGTGTAAGTGTATGTCCAGAAGGCCCACAGTACCAAACGAGCCCAGACCGTGATTTTGCTATGAAGGAAACTATTCCTGCCTGTGCTGTGCCTCTTACTCCACATGCTCAGTGGTTTAATGCAAAATCCTGAAACAGAATAAATCTGTTCTAAACAGTTTGTTTTTGCAGTAAGCAATGGAATTGCGATTGATATTTAAATAACGACTGACCAAATGTTTGCATATAACAAAGGGGCAAAAATTAGCCAGGCATGGTATTATAATGTGACAACACTCACAATGTGTGCACCACGCAGCAGTTATTCTCCTAAAGACGTATTTCCAGTTCAATCTATAACATTGTTGGTGAAGACACCCCTCAAATATCACTGCAGTCATAGTGCCCAAGAATAAACAGTCCCTTTTCCATTCTAATCTTGCCAGATTGGATTGAACGAAACAAAGAACCAAGAACAGTGCTGAAATCAAGGCTTGTATCCAGCATGACATAGATTTTATATAGCACGAAGCTCCAGCTGAAGTGGGCGCTGTTCACCTACACTTGGTCCACCTGAGGGGCTCAGTCAATAAACAGACAACTGGAATTGAAATGCTCCCTTTTTTGCAAACTGGTGGAGATTAATTGTAGGAACTTCATAATTTACTGGATTTATTAATCATTGTGCTCCTGACGATCACAATTTAACTGATACAGTCCATAGGCAAAACTGTAGGTATGGATAAGTTGATGGATCAATGTTAATTTCAGTTCTTTAAAAAGACTTCTGGTCTTTTCTGTTGGGCTGACATTAGTGTGCCTCAAGCACAGGACTATTAAGTCCAGAACACTTCCGAAGGAAAGGGTTGAATTCAGCAGCCCAGAAACTCCATAAGCAAAGGACATCACCTCGTGAA